AAAAAAAAAAAAAAAAAAAAAAGACATTCCCCTGACTGCTCAGGAGACGGTGTGCATGGAGGGCCAGGATGGAAGCTGGGATTGCAATATGGGGACACTGACGACAAAAGAGCTTGAATTCCCGCCCTTGAGGATTCCCCAGACACGCGCAGAAGTACAGCTCAGAGTGTGTCTGTGCCCTAATGGGGGTCACACAAGACATCGTTCGAGTCCAAAGGAAGCAAGTGAAAAGGCTCCTGGGCCACAGGAAAATCTCACCGGCTGTGACACCAGAGGGACCCGAAGGGCAATGGCAGAGGTGGACCAGATGGAGAAACGTGAGGCCAAGGAGGACGGAGGAGGCCTGGCCGAAGAGCCTGAGCTGTGGCCAGAGGTCTCTGAGGGCCAGCGGAGCAGGACAGGAGTAGGGAAGGAGTGTGCCATGTAGGGGAGGAGCTGCAGTGGGGCGACTGGAGGCTAGGAGACCAGGGAAGCGGCTGGGGGAGGAGGGGGAGGCCCGAGGTGAGGGCGTGGGGATGCAGAGCTCCGTGGGGGTCAGAGGCGCCCCCGGAGGGTGCTCACCCTTCCACTCCAGGTTTCCGCGGCCTCTCTCCAGATGCCCCAGCAGCCGCTGGGGGCAGGAGTTGAGCAGGAAGGTCCTCTCCTTGCTGACCGCACCCGCCTCCTGCATCCACCTCTTACTGATGGTCTCAGTCTCAGGCCATTCCCCACTCCAGGTGCCCAGCTTGGGGTCAAAATCCATGAAATCCTCGCCATTCAGAGCAAACTTGGCCACGGGCACCGAGGCATTGTCAGGGCCCAACTCACAGCCCAGCAGGCCCTGCAGGGTGTAGGGACCTGGGGTGCCCAAATACAGGTAAGTAGGACCCAGGAGCAGGGGCCCCAGCTCCTCCTCCCTCAGACCCAGGAGTCCTGGCCCCCAGCCCCTCCTCCCTCAGACTGGGGAGTCCTGGCCCCCAGCGCCCTCCTCCCTCAGACCCGGGAGTCTGGGGCCCCAGCGCCCTCCTCCCACAGACCCAGGAGTCCTGGCTCCGGGCCCCCTCCGCCCGCAGATTCGGGGATCCTGGTCTTACCTCCTTCTCCTAAGGCTTTGAGAGCTTCAAGAAAGAGTTCCTGCTTGTTCCTCAGGTCTGTTGTCTCCTTCTCCCAATACCAGGACACCTGGTTTTCCCAGACCCAAGCCCCACACGGCTCGGCCTGGGCCCGCAGGTTATTGTAGCTCAGGTATTGCTGGGGTCCCAGCCAGCCTGATACCCAGAAGGCAGGAGTCCCGGGGGCAGGAGAGGACACAGCGGTGAGGTGGTACAGGAGGGAGAGATGGCTCTCTGCTGGAGAGAGACAGAGGTGAAGAGAGCGTTGGGGGGGTGGACCTAGACTGGGGGCAGGAGGGATACCCTGAAAGAAAAAAGACTCAACCCCAGAGAGGAGAGACAGACCAGAGAGCGGGGAGACAGAGGCGGGGAGGGCCGGACCCAGAAGAGGGGGGCGGTGGTGAAGACAGATTCAGAGAGAGGGAGACAGACTTGCTGGGGGACAAACTCAGCGTGGAGGACAGATCCAGAACGTGGAGGACAGACAGCCTCAGAAAGAGGAGGATAGACTGGGGGAGGGGGACAGACCGGGGCGGG